TATAAAGTATAGATATATAGAAGTAAAGACCGGATTTATATGCATTTAAAATTATAAAATATGCATACGAAAATGCACTAAAAAAAGTCAAAAAAATGCAAAATAAAATTTAAATTTTTATTAAATTTTATATTTGATTTTAATTTTCCAGTGATAATTATTTATTAATTTTATTAAAATGTTCAAAAGCAAAAGTAAGATGCCAATATGTAATACAAAAATGTTATTTGTTAAATTATTGAAATTATAGAAATAACAAATTAAAAAAATATCTAAATAAATGTTTGTTAGAACATATAAGATGCAAATATTCGATTACCCATTTGTAAATAAAAATTGCTTATACTTACTGTAGTCGAATAACAGAAAAATAAAAAAAAAATCGCTTATTTTAAAATGTTGGTTAAAATAATATATCGTCAATAGACATAGTTTACGAATTAACTACTGCTGGATATTATATGAAAATGAAGAGAGGATAACATAAAAACTCATGTAATATCAATACATGAAAAATATCAATACAAATTTCTCCAAATGTGTTGTAAAAAAAAGCAATACACGTGTACCTTATGGGGAATTAATTTTTACTAAGAATTTAATAATGTAGCATTGGTTGTAATAATGTACCTTTTTATGTTATTTTGGGTCTTTTATCAACTAGATTAGATAAAATATGTAATAAAGCCACGTCTCAACTATAAAACTCTTACAAACAACCTATAGAAGTTTAGTAATTTACACGTACCTACCTACATATAATTAGTTTTTTTTACTCAACACTTTTTGGATTGTTAGGTGTATATTTGTACGTTATTTTTGATAAAATATGCAGAACATGCACTAACGTCAGAATATGCTAAAATATGCGTTATAAAATTTTGATATTTAATCAATCAAGTAAAGATTTGTGGACAATCATTGACTGCATGTATATGATGTTGAAAGTAGCAATATGTATGTAATGCAAAATCCGGTCTTTACTAATAAGTAATAATAGCTTTAATTTTAAAATTTTATACAATATGTGTTTAAATGAATTTATTATCAATTTCTGCGAACGTGATAAAGACTGGTATTTAATACGCACGGAATATCTATTAGATTACGTACAATATACTGACATAGTTACTCTATCTCAGCGTAAAATTTTATTTTTCATATTTATTTATTAATACATTGCCTTCGTCTATTGCTATCAATCTAATTTTTATACTTGCGGATGGAACAATGGTACGTATATGAATTCACAGAAAAACAATTTTATCTTCCGGAAAAAAATTAAAAAAAAAAATGAAAAAAATGAAAAGGAGTCGCAATCGACTCGAACTGATGCCGCGATCGATCGATATCGGCCATCCCTGTTGTAGATCGGTACTTTGCTAAGGTTTACCAAATGCGTTTCGGTTACAACACCGACACGGTCGACACATAGAAGCGGTTTAGCTCTATGACAGTTATAGGCAACAGTTCGTTCCGATCTATTATTTTTAGCAAACGTGTTCGTTACCTCGGACCGCGTGTAGTCGATTTTCAGAAATGTTCCTTATTAAGTACTTACTCGATAAATGGAAATATCAAAAGCGTTTCATCGGGCTTACCGCAGTCACTTCAAGCTCGTTCAACCTTTCCGGAACGCCCTACATGTTTAGCGATTTTATTAAATATACACGATGCATAATACCGCCAACCGATGGTGGCGGCACGCGGGAGAGAAGGGGCAAGACTGCCCGATTTACGGTGTTTCCCCTGTCCCTCTCTCGCACCGCTGTGTAACACACACGTCGAACGATATACGTTTACGTAATATAACCGGGAGGGGTATGCCGTGACACACGACCATAACAACGAACAATATTGTTTTGTATTTTATGAGCATCAAATATAATTAACATTCTGTACAGTACACATTATACATTTTTAGTTGTTGTTTTTTCCATTTTTTCTTTTATTATACACTATATAAGTACAAAATAATACAACATTATTGCTCGCACAATTTGAGCGTAAACGCTTTCCACTATAGCCTATGAACGAATAGAAATGATATGCATTTTACATATATGTATATATGTATGTATGTATATATATATATATATATATATATATAAATATAATATTTTACATGTAATTATATTGATAATAATAATATTAATAATAATAATAATAATGATAATAGTAATCGTATAATATAAATAGGTAATAATAATGTTGTAGTATAATAATAATGTAATCGTAATGCGAAACAAACACGGAAATCAAGATTTTCACTTACAAATGTACATTATAATATTCTATTAAAACGTATAATTAAAATAACGCGGTATGTATATATTGTACAGTATAGGAAGTAATAATGTTCGAACGTGTATCGCGGGGCGCAGAATATCGTTTACGACCAGCACCTGTTGGACGTCGTGTGACGTACAATATCGTTCTATTATTTCGGAACGCTTCGGTAATAACGCTGCGCGTAACACGTGACGAAGACCATTGCTATCGTTATTGTGCACTATGCGCGTCGATCGCAACAGTTATCCGATCGCGGGTACTTGTAACGTTTATCGATCGTGTTCCGACTAGGTGTCTCGGTGCGCGAACGGGACCAAGGGAGCCAACAGATGCCGTAATCAATAACAACGATAAACAAACGTTATCGAACGGATACGATCGTTTTCAGTTTCGATAGTAATACTTGATTGTGCTATACGTACACGATAAAAATCACACGTACACACGTGCCCGCGCGCTCGCGCAACACACGCCAAGTGTGGTGTGCATAATGTGTGCGCGCGCGATGACCTATATTTTTAATCGCGGCAACAGATTAAACGGTACAATGTCACTTTTAACGTTTAGAAAAATCTTATCGAACGTTGCGTGGTGCGTAACAACCGTTGAAAAATCAAACGCAAACAGAATATTAATAACCGACCACTATTTCTCTCGATCGACGCGCCAATACGCGCGCTGGCCCCGGTCGAAAGTTCGCCGACCGTTGAACGTAAACGAGTGGTCGCGAGACGAACCGGGCGAACGAAATCTCATATGTCGACACCCGTTCGCTACGCGCGAGCGACGGGATCGTTTACGGCGTGTTTTACCTGGTCGACCGCGGGGGATGCCGGGCGAGATACGATCGTGCGACTTGCGACCACCTAGTGCGTTGACCTCGGCCGATCCGACCCGGACACGACCGACCCCGGGGCCCCGTGCGACACCGATTCACCGATTACGCGGGTGACGAAATAATTATCGGATGCGATTGTGCACTGCTGTCGTTAATGGTAAATGTTAAACGATGTCGTGCGAACGCCGTGCGCTGGCGTTATCGGCGGTCCCGGTGCTAATGTTGTTATGCACCGTTCGCGCGTGATTGATGTTGTTGAATTAGAAAATATCAAACTGTTTGAATGTTGTCCGGTCGGATGAGTCGTGCAACCGATCGCTAACCCGTCACGCTGACAAATATTCGTTCGCGATATGTTTACCATTAAAACGTGCCAACGCAACGATCACGGACCGATGCGTTTTAGAAAATATTAGGAAAACGAAGAAGATAGGAGCGCGGTAGACGCTGTTCGCAACGGTATTTTCGATTTTTACACGCCGCATCGTTAGAACGCGCAGGATTTCCGAAGAAAATATTCATAATTTCGTGTCGTCATTGTTCGTGTATTCTTTCTTCGCATTATCGGTTTGGTTTTGTGTTTGAAATGAAAATGCGTGACGTGAGACGATTTGTCTGACGTTGATTGAACTGCAACTGCGCCGTGATTGTTGTTTAATTAATTAACGACAATTGGGAAGCAGGTTACGGCCCTAACGGGTGGAGCTGTAAACTCTGCCCCCGAGCGCATCAACATAACAATATGAATTATTAAACGATATGGGTTCTTCGCAGTAAACGCCGGGGTCGCCGTCAGGTCGTGCCGGTAATTGTTGTGCGCGTGGAAATCGAAAACGTCGAAAAGGAGTTGGCAAGGGAACGTGCAGAGAAATAGATCGAAGTCAGTGGATTTCGAGTTTTAAGGGACCGCTTGATCGAGGACGTCCCGACAAGGTATTGATAAGAACGTTCGTCTCCGTGAACGTAATAATATTCGCGTTTGGAATTAAAACTACGCGAAAATATCGTTACACACCATCGTAACATATTTGTGCATGTTTTGCAGAGTCCGCTGTAAATGTAGCGCGCAGTCGATTGTGCTCGTATCTTCTTTTTCGCTATTTCCTTTCATTCCCTTCTTACGTACGTTCACTTGCATTGCGCTTTATCACGTCGAATCGGTATGCACGGGTGCCCTCCGTTTGAAATAGCTTTTAAAATATACACAGAGTGGTGGGATCGGAATTCGGGATATAGGATGGATACCAGAAAGTCGATTTGAGTCTAATAATCTTTTGTGCGCGCGTAGTACGACCTAGCTGTATTCGGTTCACTTGAAAGGGTTGTTTTATTATTATAGCACTTAAACCGCGCGCGCACGGTGGCTTGAAATTGCACGTAACAGCGCGGAGATAATTCCGAATAACGGGTGATGTAATGTCGGTCAGAAAAGTGGAATGGTCCGACGGTCGAGAGGGATGCGTTTGATATTTTTATTCCGTCGTTCTGTTGTGTTCTAAAGAATCGAAGATAATGACTACAACGGACGGTGGACGGAGAGGATTGCATGCCACAGGAATGTGGTCGTAAAGTCTTACGAAATGGGGATAAATACATAATGCATCGATACCGCTACGAGTGCAACATTCAGCACCGATGAGTAAGTTGCCGCCATGACATCAGGTCTATCGCAATAGATCTTCACTGAATAATGTCTTACGATTTTCACATTTTTCCATTCTCGTTCTCATCTGTACACACGTATATGATATACACTCGAAGAAGCGTTCTTAAAACCGCAAAAAAGTTTTTAAAATGTGTCATATTACACGTATATTGTATTCGTTTTTTTTTTCTGCGCCCGAACAATACTTCTATGTATTATATTATTATAATCGAAATCGAACATATTATACATAAACACTTTTTTTTTTACGCTCTTCGCTTAGCTTTTATTAGAAAAAATACACCATAATAGTACAGTATTACGATGTAGGTAAACAATCTATATATGAAATCGTATTGAATAGGTAGAATATATTATGACATAATATTTTGAAACATTACAAAAACAAAAAGAAGATATAGCAATAATATTATTTAAGTTAGTAATTATAAATATTAATATATAACATATAGATAATAATAATCTTAAAAAAAGTAGAGAACTGCTACGGACGACGATTTCTAAAATATCATCGTTAACACAATAAATCGTCGGGTTTGGATTGCAACAATCAAATATTTAATTAATAAATTGAAGAACGCCTGACTCGAACAAGAGGAGACGAAGTCGTTTTGAATGATACACAGAGTAAAAAATAAAAAAAAAAATACCTTAGTACATATTTTGTTTTCGATCGGTTCGGATATTGACGAAATGTTGATCGAATTTCATTGTTTAATTTTTTTTCAACTAATATCCTAAGACTAGATCTAAATCATATGAGTCAAACGTTCTCCAAGTACAGTTATACTTTGATGTGTTTTTACACGGCGCGGTGGCGTACTCGCCGTTACCCTTCAATATTGGTGACATTTGACGAAACTACTGGTACACAGTCTATTAACTCTTTCGCGTTCGCGTATTCGCTATACAGGTCCATTATGCGGTACTTGGTGCTGCACATTGATGAACCGGTTTGCAAATGGCTCCGCCACCGAATTACCGTGATCAGAACATTAACGCTTCGGCCACGTGGTGGTGAGAGGGCGGTGATCGTTGTGCGTTAGCTCGCCCAAATGACAAAGCGACATCGGAAGGGTTAGGAGTAGGGGAAAACGTGCGATGGGGCAGTTTTCGGGGTGAGATAATGAGGGGGGAGGTAGTCACATTTTTTTTTTTTTTTTAAGAGTCGCAAAAACGACGAAGCGAGTGCGGGTGGTAAACACGGTAACCGGGTGGCGGCAGAGATCGATTGTTTAGGGTTTGGCCACCGTATTTACAGATTTCACCGGAGATGTACGAGAACCCAGTGACGCTAGTAGTTCCATCAGACGTACCGGCTGCCTGGTATCGCCTCTCGCCTGCCGGCGTCGAGGCGAAAAGCTCTAGCTACAGTTCCGTCACCGGTATCGGCTTATCGTTGCGATGCGGCATCGTGTTCTGATGGCGTTGCTGCTGCTGCTGGTGCGGCTGGTACGAGTGTTGGCTGTGATGGCTGTACGTCCCGTGGTGCATCGGTGGCAAAGGTGGAGGCGTGGGTGACATCATCATCATCATCATGTGATGATCGTTGCTCTGCTGCTGATGCTGTTGCTGCTGCTGTTGCTGCTGCTGCTGCTGAAGGTGTTGCTGAAAATGCTGTAAGTGATGATGCTGCGGTTTTTGCTGCTGCTGCTGTTGAACACCACGATGCTGGTGCTGGCCATGGTACTGCTGGGTTCCGTGGTGCTGCTGGCTATTATGTGGTGGTGGTGGTGGCGGCACGTGGTGATGATGGTGGTGGTGCGTGTTAGAGTTGCGCACGATAAACTCGTCGTCCGAGAACGTTTTCTGGTACTCCAGGTCTTTACGGTTCACCGTCTCCTTGTTCCAAAACGTCTTCTTCAGCGAGTGGTGCAGCCGCTTGCGGAATCGATAGGCCAGCAGCAGCATAAGCGCTATGAACGCAACGGTGCACCCGAATACAGCACCCACGATGGCCTGCTGCCGCGTGTAGTACTTGGCGCAGGACAGGTCGTCGGAGCCGAGTGAGCTGAGTGGTTTGTCCTTGAGCGGCGCGGGGCTAGCGCAATTCACGTGGCTGGTGTTGCGTCGGGCCAGCAACTCTTTGAGCCACAGCACCGAGCACTCGCACACCAACGGGTTCTCGGTAAGATCGATCTGCTGCAGCTCCTGCCAAGTAACCATTGCCTCGGTGAATGATGTGAACGCGTTGTTGCGCATGATTAGGTTACGCAGGTTCGGCAGTCCCATGAACGCGCCGTCTTCTATGGTAGCCAGCTGCTTATTGCTGCTGAAGTTGATCGTTTCTAGGTTTAAGTTGTCGTTGAACACACCCTTCCGGATGACTGACAGCTGCGACGCGCCCGACACGTCCACCATGCGCAGGTTGACCAGCCCCTTGAACGCGTCCGGTTCGATGGATATGAAGTCGTTTTGGCCCACGCTCAGCTCCTCCAGCCGCGCCAACCCGGACAGCTGTTTGGTGGGTATGGCCGACAACCGGTTGTCGGTGAGCACCAGTCGCCGGAGCACGGTGAGCCCGTTGAACGCGTCCGTGCTGATGTTTATGAGAGCCGCGCCGGTCAGCTCGAGCACGGACAGTCGACCGAGACCGGCGAAACAGTCGTCATCTAGCGTGGTGAACGCGTTCAGGCCGATGCGCATTTCGGCCAGGTTGCCCAGGAACTTGAACGCGGGCGTGGGCACGGCCCGTAGCTGGTTGTCGTCCAGGTAGAGCACTCGCAATCGGGTCAGGCCCTGGAACGAGGCCGGGTCGATGCGACTGATGCGGTTCGCACCCAGATCCAGCTCCTCAAGCTTGGGTAGGGCCGCGAACAGCCGGTCCGGCAGGTCCTCCAGATAGTTGCCGCGCAAGCTCAGTATGGTCAGTGACACCAGCCCTATGAACGTCTTGTTATTGATTGACGAGATCTTGTTGTGGTTCAGATGCAGCTCGACCAGCTTCTCTTGCGCCTCGAACCCCTTGTTTGGTACGTTCACCAGGTGATTGTGCGACATATCCACGTACTGCAGAGCCCCGTAGAACTGGAACGACGCGTCCACGATCTTGATTCGGTTGTACATGAGCATCAGTCGCTGTATGGACGGGTTCAGCGTGATTGGAATCACGTCCAGGTTGCCCTCCTTGCACAGCACCACCAGCGTGTCATCATCGCATGAACAGTTGGATGGGCAGTGGGCCCGTATCATCGCGGCCGCGGCCAGTATAATGACGGCCCACGTGGCCATGACTCCGCTTCGTGGTAACATTGTCGGTGTGTCGCGTTTGTTGTGCAGCTCTTACGCAGCCGTCCGTGTATCTAACATCTGCAAAAATCAAACACGGATTATTGTTTTACTATAGCTCGGTAAAGAGTTACGCAGTAGTTATGCAAAACTGCCGCGGTACAGGTATTTACCGCGTGATTATCATCAGCACAAGCCTAGCCGAGTTACTACAGAAAGTTAATGCCGTAAAAGGTCCTTTATTTTATTAAAAAGATATGTACAAGTATTTTTATATGTTATAATAATTTTTCATTTTAATCGGTACAGTCGTATACTAATAGTATCCATGCCCACAAAAAATAGCTTATAAATAATTAAATTAAAATATTCGTCTTATTTTATGATACCACTTTGATGTCAAGCGGCGGTCACTAACGAACAAACATCAAAACAAATGTCTATTATTTTTACTTATTTCAACAGTACATGCGAGGGGAGAAATTATGAATGTAGGTAGATATGTGCTTAATGGTATAACCCGCATTGTCAAATAATGATTATAATAATAATAAAACTATGTTTCTTTTAAAATTAAATAATGACGTACAAGAAAAAAAAAAAGAACATTAATAATTCAAAAACAGGATAGGCCCGGGCCCACTACCAGGCCAACCCGCTGGGCTCGCAACTGGACGCATTGACGATTTAATGCCGTTCGTACCGGCACACACATACACGACAACGTAAAATATTATTGTTATTTATTACCGATATAATGTCGCGTCGGCGTCCTTGCGCAGCGTTTGATGTAATTTTTATGACTGTAATATATTACGCGTGCGTTCGAACACGGAAAACGTTGAAATTTACCCGAAAAAATTGTACATTGTGCAACCCGGTGGCGATCGGAAGGTTGCAGTATTCGCTGCCATCACTAATCTCACGAAAACCATCATTACGCGTTTTAAAATGCATTAAGGTCGCTCTGTGCGTATAGCATGTACCGTGCGCGCGATTCCTATCAATGACATTATGCACGTGTGTGTGCGCGGTAGAAAAAAAAAAATTATCGAAAAATGTTTTTCTTTGTTACCGTTTATGTAGGCGGAGCGCAGTTGCACGTGTAAACAGAAAATACAAATCTAAGGAGTAGGCAAACATTCGCAGCGAGCCCCCGTCGAATCAATAATAACGCGCGTTCGGGGTTTTTATTATTATTATTTTTATCTGAAAATAAACGATGCGCAAAACCGTAAACCGAAAGCTTTGCACGTTGCGAAATATGTTTATTATTATGATTTACTTCGTCAATCGTTTGACTTTACTGTAGCAGCAGCGTGTGCCTTTTTCACCTTTAGCGGTCGCCTAAATCACTTATCGGCCGCCGGCGGGCCAAGGTCGAGCAACGACTGTCGTTCCGGCGTATACAGTATTATAATATTATCGATGTGCACCGACGTACGTACGATACAGGTGTATGCGCGTGTGTTCATGATTTATTGTCGGGACTCGGATTTTATAGAACTAAGAGGTATGCGCTACATTACGATCTAGAAATATCTTAAAACAATAATGCACTCTGAAAACACGAGAGATAGTAAAAATGAATAAAAATATTTCTTCTGTAGATAATTTAAAATATTTATACTTCTTACTAAATAACTATTCGTAGATTAGCATATTTACAAGAAAAATTAGATGTAAATATAAGGATTTATCGTGTCTAATCGCAAGACATATTTTTTAAAATATTAACATTCGAATTATGAGATCTCTATATTAAAAAAAAAACACCAAATAAATTAAATGTAATGCAAAAAATTGCACTAAAACCGGAGAAATAATACTGTCAAGTTATAAAACACATGCAGTATTAAATTGTGAATTTGAAATGATTGTTAAAACAAATTCATTCAGCACACTATGCGCTAGATTAGTGTTCTACAATAATTGATTTGCAAAAAATGCTATAGGATCCGAGCTCTGGTAATTATTACAAATGAGATTCCTTTTCGAAACGTTATGATTGATTATTATGTTATTATTAACTATACACATAACCATCAGTAAGCACGGAAGTTAAGTGAACCGTATATATGGACTAACGCGATGGAAAAGCTATTTACGGTTTTTTTTTTTTTTTTTTTAACATTGTTTCGTACGGGATTTTACACTCGGACGCGTCATTGAACGACGACGAAAGCGATTAGTACAATGTAAACATTTTAATATATTGTTGTTTCGGATAGGGAAAACGCGAGACCACGTTACGCAGTCACGATGCGCTATTACTTTTTTTTTATTAATTTTTTACTAGTCGTTACGGTAATATTTCTAAAACGCGTTACAGCAACCGCGATAACACGTGTAGGTACGTGTCAGAACGGGTTGATCAACGCGACAACGGGTTGTAACGCGACAGATATATTCTCTGCCGTGGAAGATTTACAACAACAACGCAATGCGTGCGTAGAGAACGCGGAAGAGGAAACCGAAACAACGCGAAACCTATCGTAATCGTTGATTTATTATTAACATTATGGTTTGTGATTTTTAACCGGGCGAGCGGTTAAATATTCCTAGATATTTCCTAGGAACAAATAGAAGCAGTAACGATTTATTACAATGAAAAAATAAAAGACAAAATAGACTGTTGAAACAATAAAACCTCGACGATTTCCAAAATCACGCGGGATAATGATTATCACATTAATGTCAATTGTACAGGTATGCGCGGTAGAGTAAAACAGCCCTGGTTTCGGCGTCGCTCACACCGCGGTGTAATCGGCTCGGAGCGTTGTGCTTTCCAACGAACGACCCGCGTAAGAGGAAACACACGCGTTGTACATTGTTATTGCATAATAACACATCACTAATCCCGTCGCGGTTTAACAACACGTGTACGAAACACTCACCGATTATCAGTATTATCGAACCGCCGTCGCTTGTTTTTATCTGCAGCGTTGACCGAAACGTGTACATTTTTGTTCTGCTAATTTTCAGCACCGAATGCTTTCACTATCTATCCGAAACATGACGATTTACATCCGACAATTTGCATACGATAAGCGCAAACATGTGTACCGTTCGTACACGATTCCCGTTCGATTCGGACACACTAAAACCAACAACGAATCTTTGTTCGAGACTTAAACTCTCTTTCGTGTATACAGTCCAAGATAACGGTCAAAGTATAGTGTGTTATCGTCAATCGTGTGCCACTTTAGCGCACGCGCTACACGACGGACTCGCCGTCACGGTGTGCACACGTCTCGCGAAATAGTACCACGCACACTTAATTACGAGCACATTTTTAGGATTTCGCACGGTTCAACAGGCGATAATCATGCCACCCATATGGTCCACGGATCGGATTAATTACTATCGATGATATCGCAACGATGTTTCTTTGGGAACACGATAACGTGTGGTGTGCGAGAGCACGACATTAATATGGAGGTTCGTACACGCACCGATTTGCAAAACGTGTCGGACCGTAACGATAATCGTGGACGTGATTACCGCTGAAGAAACAGGGTGGTGAGCATCTACTTGCTTAAGCGAGTGGTCGTTGCCTCGGAGAGTATTTCAATCGCACCGAGAAGAACGAGTGGACCCACGTTTGTAGCCGAGAATTACTATCGTGATTTGGTTTCTTGTTCCGTGACGTATTGTAGGCACTCCGACGAGGAACTTTAAACGATTTCCGTCATTTAAGTTTGGTTACACGACGTAGCAGTAAACTGTTCTACGATAACACGGGCAAAAAGTTTGAAAATACATGTACGTACGCGCAGTGACGGACCGCAAAGTTGACGGGCAGTAAGTAACTACATAGATACGTGACGTCGAAAACTACAACATACCGCGTGGTCGGATGCGGGAGGAAGTCGATTTAGTGGATTTAGACCCATACAAGACAGTTGTTATGGATTCCCAAGGGACCAACGAAAACGTCGGCGGCCCCTTCGAAATTAAGAAGAGTTGTTGTACAAGTCGGTAAAATAAATTTATTTTCTGTTCTTATTTCACCCCTCGTGCCCGTCACCCGCGCGTAAACACGACCTGTAAGCTTTTAGGCTCACGATGATCTTGCCGTGCTTCGTAAAACCGTCTAACAATATATACCTGTTGTGCTTGTCCTCGTATTGACGTGCGACGAGTAATGGGCGAGTCAAATGAAAAGGCTAACGTCTACCAGATATGCGATTTCTTTTTTTTTTTTTTAGGGCGTTCACTTGATATACGTACATTATTATCAGTGAAACGTAAACAGTTGCTGATATTGTGTACCCGTGTTGGAGTGTTGTTATGAAAATATGACCTAGACGTTATCTTTAAAAATTACAATTCGCGAATTCGTCAAACATAATTCAATTAGTTCCATTTTAATAATATGACACACGCGCTTGATGCGTATGCTATTGATAAAAAATGTGCATAAAAAAATGTTGCGTTTAAATGTAATCGCTGTTCAAAAGTGAAAAAGCAATGTTTCTATAATATAATTATTATTATTGGTACACGTGAAAAAAATATATCTAAACCTTTAAAATTGGTGATTGAATAGCTTTTTTTTATAGTTTAACGAACCGAAAAGTATTAGTTTAATCCTTTCCAAGATGAGATTTCTGGTGACAAACAATTGTTTTATACTCGAATTATTTCAACAAAAAACGGTACGCTGCGAAAACAACGAGTTGTTAACGGAAAAAAATATTGGAAAACTGTACACGGATAATATGCGAGCTCGCGTAATGATTCACCTCGCTCATACATTTCTAAAATGTCGATGTCGCTGTAGCCTGTGTTGGTACAGTAATATCCGTTGATGCACATTGGGCGTTAAGTTTAGGGATGCTAAAATAATGTTACGAACACGTATCATTTATATTACCATGATTAATTACTTAGGGACCCTGGGAGTGCTTATTTCAAACTTGGGGTTGCTTATCACCTCCGAGCACCCTCTTCCCTATTCGCGGCAATGGTCATATCTTTCGATCGTACACGCGTGAAACGTAACAACGTAGAGCGTATATATGTGCGTTCGGATATTACTATATTATAATTGTATCCGCGTGTATCGCGGTAACGAC